AGACACAATGAAGTTACAATCAATTTTACCATGTAACAACTGTCACAGAAACACAAAATGTCTACAAAACGTCTTGAGCTAAAAAAATAGATATTTTTGAAAATACACTGATTTGGCATCTGGAATATTGTGTCCTCAGACTTTGCACATGCATTGAAGCGACTATTCGTCATAGAGCCCATTATGGTAAAGTAGTTTGTAATGTCTAGTTTAACTAGAGTAACTGAGAGGGAAAGTACAGGAATTCAGAGTCTCGCTTCAGAACAGGTACTCGGCTCTTAGTGAGGAAACCAACCTTAGCGTAGATACAATGAATGATAATCTGACGAGTATGATTATGGAGTGTGCAGCGGAAGTTGGAGGCAGGGTAGTTAGACAGGACACCTGCAAGCTTTCCCAGTAAACGAAGAATCTCATTAAGAAGCATCAAATCATGAAAGTCTCAAGTACAACAGACAAAATAGAACTGGCAGAGCTTTCGAAGCTGATTAATAGGCGTAAGGTATCCGATGTAAGAAGGTATAACATGGAGAGAATTGAACACGCTCTGAAAAATGGAGGAAGCGTCAAAGCAGTGAAGAGAAAACTTGGGATAGGCAAAAATCGGATGTATGCACTAAGGGACAAAGAAGGCAAAATAACTACCAATATGGATAGGATAGTTAAAATAGCGGAGGAGTTTTACGGAGATCTGTACAGTAGCCGGGACAACCACGACTTTAATACTATAAAAACTAGCAGTAACCCAGATGACACCCCACCAGTAATGATAGAAGAAGTCAGAAAAGCTTTGGAGAGCATGCAAAGAGGCAAAGCTGCTGGTGAGGATCAGGTAACATCAGATCTGCTTAAAGATGGAGGACAAATTGTGTTAGAAAAACTAGCCATCCTGTTTACCAGGTGTCTCCTGACGGGAAGGGTACCAGAGTCTTGGAAGAACGCTAACATCATCTTAATACATAAGAAAGGAGATGACAAGTACTTGAAGAATTACAGGCCGATTAGCTTGCTCTCTGTAGTATACAAGCTATTTACAAAGGTAATTGCTAACAGAGTAAAGAAAACATTAGAATTCAATCAACCAAAGGAACAAGCTGGATTTCGAACAGGCTACTCAACAATCGACCACATTCATACTATCAATCAGGTAATAGAGAAATGCTCAGAATATAACCAACCACTATACATAGCCTTCATAGATTACGAGAAGGCGTTTGATTCAGTAGAAATATCAGCCGTCATGCAGACACTGCGGAATCAGGGCGTCGATGAAGTATATGTAAACATCCTGGAAGAAATCTACAGGGGATCAACTGCTATTATAGTGCTTCATAAAGAAAGCAACAGAATACCAATCAAGAAGGGTGTAAGGCAGGGGGACACAATCTCCCCAATGCTATTTACCCCGTGCTTACAGGAGGTTTTCAGAAGCCTAGAATAGGAACAGTTAGGGATAAGAGTTAATGGAGAGTACCTTAGTAACCTACGCTTCGCTGATGACATTGCATTGCTGAGTAACTCAGGGGACGAATTGCAACTCATGATTACGGAATTAGACAAGCAGAGCAGAAAGGTGGGTCTTAAAATGAATCTGCAGAAAACGAAAGTAATGTACAACAACCTCGGAAAAGAGCAGTGCTTCGAGATAGGTAATAGTCCGCTTCAAGTTGTAAAAGACTATGTTTACATAGGGCAGGTAATAACCGCGGAGCCGAACCACTAGATCGAAGTAACTAGAAGAATAAGAATGGGGTGGAGCACATTTGGTAAGCACTCCCAAATTATGACAGGTAGATTGCCACTATCCCTCAAGAGGAAGGTATATAACAGCTGTATCTTGCCGGTACTTAGCTACGGAGCAGAAACCTGGAGACTTACAAAGAGGGTTCAGCTTAAATTGAGGACGACGCAGCGAGCAATGGAAAGAAAAATGGTAGGTGTAACCTTAAGAGACAAGAAGAGAGCAGAGTGGATTAGGGAACAAACGGGGGTTAAGGATATCGTAGCTGAAATCAAGAAGAAGAAATGGACATGGGCCGGGCATGTAGCACGTAGACAGGATAACCGCTGGTCGTTAAGGGTAACTAACTGGATTCCAAGAGAAGGCAAGCGGGTTAGGGGGAGACAGAAGGTTAGGTGGGCAGATGAGATTAAAAAGTTTGCGGGAATAAATTGGCAGCAGCAAGCACAGGAACGAGTTAACTGGCGGAACATGGGAGAGGCCTTTGTCCTGCAGTGGACGTAGTCAGGCTGATGATGATGATGATGACTGTATATGCTCCCTACAGGACCCAACGTTGTACAGGACCAGAGTAGCGCATAGGTTCGCCATCTTGCCTGGTTATCAACCATACGCGGTGAAGCCACGCTTTGTTTCTGCAGGTGAATTGCTTAAGCCTTCAAGACGTTATTTAGATGTTTTATGCAGATATGCACGCGCAACATGGCAACGGCTGTTTCGAAAGAAGCGATCGTTCCTCTCGAAATACCAAGCGCGTGTGGTGGGGCTGATGAGACCATATCGCACACATTGTGACGGAGTGCACGTAACTGAGCCCTCCTAATGTCTCACTGCCACGTTGGGGTTTGTTGGCGCAGATGGCGGGGTCACAGATGGTGGGGTGGGCTACGCTGCACTGAGGCACAGTAAGACTCGCTTAGAACAATGAACGCGAATAACCCTCTAGAGACTTCGGGAGGGGGTTCTTCATCCACCAGGCTGCCTATGCTTCTTCTTTGTCTTTTTATGGTACTATCTATTTATTTCTCATTGGCTAGGGTGCCAAAAAGTGCCCGCCCTTTACGAAGGATATAGCCTCGCTATCATCATCAGCAGCAGGGGAGCGCAGGCCGCTCGTTACTGTGCTCCCTTTCATAAATGACGACAGAGTACATATATCCTCTGCTGTGACGTTGATATGCTAGAGCACTATAGAGATTGTTAGTTGGCATTTTCGTTTTCGTGAAGAAATGGCATAGAAAGGTAGCTTGTAAGGGAAGACAGCAGAAATTAATGGTTCGCACAGAAATATACTGTGTGAAGTAGCCACCATGCACATCCCAGACAACAGCTGTTCGGTTTTTTTCATACAGCTGCTTTTTTTCTTTCAAACACGTGGCAACTTAAGTGCACTTTGAGCGAGTACACTTTGCCTAGAGTGTCATTTGTGGCCGTCACACGAGAGAGCTTAGTTTCACTCGCTGCAAAGTACACTTACCGGCAAGTGTGTTCCTGAACCTCACTTTACTGCGACAGCTGCGACGAAGTGAGTGAAGCTTTGGTGCCAGTGGCTTGTACAGACCCTGTTGCCACTTGTTCTTACACCATGGCTGTTGCCTAAAGGGGCGCTCGTACCATTGTTTTTAAATGCGAAGCATTTCTTAGCGAACTTCGGCGACCTTGAGCGTATCTATCCATCTATCTATCTATTTACCTGCCTATGACTATTAGCTCTCCTGGCCATTTCAATATTGGTATCGATACCAAACATGGTATGGCATAACATGACTTCACGAAAAACATATTTGTTTAGTCATAAGATGAAAATCATGACATGTATGTCATGATTTACATCTCATGGTCTTGCAGCTGACTGATTGATTGATATGTGGGGCTTAACGTCCCAATACCACCATATGGTTATGAGAGACGCCGTAGTGGAGGGCTCCGGAAATTTTAACCACCTGGGGTTCTTTAACGTGCACCCAAATTTGAGCACATGGGTTTACAACATTTCCGCCTCCATTAGAAATGCAGCCGCCGACGCCGGGACTCGATCCCGCAACGGCGGGGTCAACAGCCGAGTACCTTAGCCACTGGACCACCGCGGCGGGGCAATGTCTTGCAGCTCTTGCGGTGGTTTCGTTCACATGGCATGTCGCAAAACTTGTATGGTATGACATGATTGCATGGCGAACACAAACAACTGACCCTAACATGAAAATCATGACATGAGTGTCCTGTAACAACATGACTACATGCCACGCTCATGATGCACTTGCAGCCGTTTCGCTCGCGTCACATATACCAAATTTGGTATTACGGTACGTGAATGTATGACAAAGGTATGTGACTGGTGCAAACGTGATATTCATAAGATGCGTGTCATGTGAGAACATGACTACATGCCACAGTCAAGGCGCCAATACATTTCGACGTGACGCGGTGCGCGTGCTCGCCGGCGTTTATTTCGTCGCGTCACGTTGGCGTTGCCACGCCAGGCGCCAGTCGTGCCCACACGCCGTGCTGTGTTGCTTTGACGCATGCGCGTTTCAGCGCGTCCGGCGTCCCTCCGTCACAAAAAGAGGGAGACATAAGAAAGTTTCAGAATAGCGCACCTCTGGCCTTTGCGGTGCGGTCGCTGTCACTGCGCATGCGTCGTAACGCGAGTCGGCGTTCGCGTTCGCGGACCGCACGCAGAAATGCGTGCGGTCCGCGAACGCGGCTGTGCTTGGCATAGCCAAAACCCCAGAACAGTGTGAAAATAGGTACAAAACAGTAATTAGGCGTCGGAAGGCGTCTTCCGACCATAACAAAAGGTCTGGTGCTTCACCCACCCCTGTGCCTTTTGACGACGAGGTGAAAAAAATTGAAAGCATTGATGACAGCATTGAACCGGAGGTAGAGCGAGACGCCTCAGGGGCTACATTCAAAGCCTCGCCCGAATCTCCGGCCGTGTTGTCACCTGCCAACACCACTGAGGAAAATAAGACGCAGTCCTCAAATCCCGACACGAAGCCACGGGTAGGAACTGCACGCCTGGCACACATGCAGTTGTTTTTTACTGAAATGAGGGCACTGCAAGAAGAAAAGGAGGCTCAAAAGGCGGCCAGACGTCAAGAAAAAGAAAATCGAAGAGCTGAAAGGCAGGCCGAGCGACAGGTGCTTCGTGAAGAGCGGCGCAAAATGCATGAAGAAAAAATGGAGATTCTCCGTCAGGCCTTTGGACTTCCAAAATAAAGTGGTAGTTTTAAATAAATAAACGTACTACCCAAAGCGATTACTTAGTTTCAATGTCTTTTATTTTCTAGTTTGGCACAATACACTACCTTGAGAAAATGCAAATGGGCCAACAGGTGTGTGGTAAGGACAATTTTTCCCAACCTTGAAGGTGTTTTAACGAGTTCAGCTTTTCAGGTGGGCCTTTGGTAAGCATATATTTGCTCACAACTGCATAACACGTAAAGGAATTCCTTGTTTCATGGCTGCTGGTTCTGCAACCCCATTTTTATCATCAAGTGATCTCTTGATGCTAGCCAAGCCACGTAATAGGCTATCCTGTTGGGCTACACTACTGCTGCTTACTTGAACTGCAGAAGAGCTTGAGTCTACATTTGTTGTTTGTGAGGTAAGTGACAGGTCTCGTGACAGGTTCTCTGGCAAATCTCCACAATCAATGCAGAGGTTGTGAAGCACACAGCATGAAATGATAAACTTGGACATGTTATCCACTGTCCACATATCCAACCTGTGCAGTTGTCTGAAACGATTTTTTAAATCGCCAAAAGTATTTTCAATAAGCACCCTTGTCCCGGAGAGTCTTGCATTGAAGGTTTTTTTGATGCTGTCAAGATTCCCATAGTCTCGAATTGGTGTCATCAGGTACTCCCGGAAAGGATATGCAGCATCCCCCACTATATGGTACTTGCTAGAGCACAGTTGTGGCAAAACACTTGAAATCCTGGACCGACGGAAAATGCGTGCGTCATGAATTTTGCTTGGGTAGCCAGTGCTGGCATCAAGAAACCTCTTCTTGTTGTCACAAACACCTTGAAGTGTCAAGGATAGGTAATGGTGCCGGTTTATATAAACAGATCGCACTTTCCTGGCTGGGCACCTGATAGGCATGTAGCTTCCGTCAACACACCCAATTGTGTCTGGGAATCCCGACAGCTGCAAGAGAAAAAAATGTGCACACACATAGTCAAATAAGCATGGCACTAAGGGTAATGAAAGGTGCCAATAACATGCGGAAAAGTTTAAAACAAACTGGAGACTTGAAGCTCATAACGGCGAGTGCAATACACTACCGGTACACATGATTGAAATTAACTGGCTATTTAATTGTGAAGCATCTGGGAAAAATAATTGTAATAACTTATTTAAAAGGTGCATTCTGGCACTAACTAATTCATAATTGTAATAGTAGAGCGGTAAAGAACACATGGGACCGCACGAAGGGGAATTAATGACACATACAGAGTACATACAGAGTGCACAAGTAACTGAACTCTAGGTTTATTCACTGTACATGCAGGACAAGTACTAGATGTACATCACTAAGCAGAAGATGGGAAAATAGAAGAGATATGAAACAGCATCACATGGTCAAAACTACTCAAGAAAAATGTCCGATTGCTGACAGCATTTGTAATACACATGAAGGAGGCTTGACTGTGTGGTGCTCTTTCATATCTCTTGCATTTTACATTTTCTGTTCATTTGCAGTTCTGATCCTGCATATCAGTTGCTTTCAGTCCTTATTGTGGTTTGAGTAGGTGTAATTCCTCTTAGTCTGGTCCCTTGAGTTGTGTAGAGCTGTATGACATTGGTGTGAAAAAAACTGTAGTTTATACCTTAAATAGCATGTTTACAAAAGCATAGTTACCTTCTCAAAATCCACAGCAAGCTTCTGCAGGTCACTGGGGAACTTGATTACATTCGGTGCTATGTCGAGCAGGAATGCAGTTACTCGGCCCATCATTCTGTGGTGAGTGCTTTCTGCGACTTCAAAGCGGCCAGCGACATCTCTAATGCATGCTTTGTTGGCTGCATACCTGAAAAGGAGAGGATACTCTAATTAAATAATGGAATTAAGCTTGCTGTTGCTGTCAATGACTGAATAATGGTGTTAACAATGCTGTCGCTGTCAATGAAGCAAATTAGCAAGACAACTGAAGTCAGAAAACACGATTCCACCTTTTTGGGTGACACCTTAGAAACTCAAAATATTTGATTAGTAGAAGCACTATCTAAATAACAAATTCTAATTTTAATTCGCGCATTACATTTATAAGTGTGGAGATGAAGCTCACTGTGAACCTGCTGACACAGCCGATTTGAAATGCTTCGTGAGCAAAAGTTTTCATGGTTGTTTGTAATGATGCATCATGAATTATGCTTTGCCACTGATTCTAGTAACGAGAATTTTGTGAAGCTCAGTGTGTAGGTGTACAAACTACGAAAGCATTTCACAAAATACTATAACTCTATTACGTTCGACACTCGCTAGTAGCATTTAACAAGTTTAAAGCAAGGTGGTCCAATGACATGCTGCGAATTAGGTACATTTATTTGCAATATTTCATATGCCTCTAACCCACTAAAACGGATTATGCAGTGACCTGATGACAGCGGCATTCCTAAACGTACGGACACTCACCAAAGAAAGGAGAGAATGTGTTCTTCAGCCGACTTGGCAGGCAGGCCACCATGATCACTGTTCTGAGGGCAGTGCGGTGACTTGGCGAATTCTGCTGCCAAGAAGTCCACGACCGGCCGCGTGACGCGGAAATTCTTTTGAACTGGAAGAAAACAGGCCTTTAAGCAACCTAATTAAAACAGAAGCCGAATGACTCACCTCCTCGTCGGAGTAGCTAGCCACCGTCTTTGTAACATATGCTTCCACTTTCGGCCTTCGCTCTGGCAGAGAAAAGAGCTGCTGAAACGCTGCTGCATACACTTCGTCGTCATCGTCGCTGCTGCTTGAACTCGACTCGGACGTAGAGCTCCAGCAGCTATCGCTGCTGACATCGTCTAGCTCGTCAAATACTTCGGCAAGACGACGACGTTTTGCTGCCTCCGCCATCCGTGAATCTGAAGGCAGGCAAGGTGGACGTTCACTGCCAGAATCTGCCGCTACGACGTTAAAATCGTTCGAGCCCGAGCACCACGCACGCTTCGCTGCCGCCATAACCGCCCGACACGACGCCGCAAAATGTAAACAAGTGAGGAGGATTGCTGAGAGGGTATGTCCGGACATGACGTTCCAAACACGTGGTTTCCTGCGTTTTCCACTCACTCCGCTTTTTAAGAGGGAGCAGACAGAACTGCTCCTGGCTGCTCTCGCGCGCAGCAAAAGCGCTCTCGCTCTACCAATGGATGACAGTGCTCCTACTCCTGTTCGACCACTGAAACACGCCGCCTCGGAAGAGAGCACTTTGAGCGTGCTTTTGAGTGCACCTGCTCTCCCAATGGAATTCGCCATAAAACTCATATGGCGCCCGCAGCGCTTGCAAACGGTATTCGTGACGGTATTCTAAAGCTCTCTATAGTGTTGTCTGGGTAACGCATCGGCGCGAAATGCAGCACGTCGCATTTCGCGCCGGTTGCCGTCGGGCCGCGCTGACGGACGCTGGTCGCGCCTGGCGTCAGACTATAGTGCTCGCGTTTTGCTAACGTAGTGTCGCTGTGCCCAGCATGCGCGCGCGTCAACGCTACATTGGAGTATATTGGGCCTTTCATGATGCGCTCGCGGCCGTTTTGCTAGCTTCACATATGCTAAATTTGGTGTTACGCGAGATCAATGAATGACGAAATATAGACTGGTACAAACATGATAGTCCTTACACGCGTGCTATGTAAGAACATGACAACATACCACGCTCATAGTGTGGTCGCGGCCGTTTCGCTAGCTTCACATATACTAAATTTGGTATTACGTGACGTGAATAGATGACGAAGGTAAACGACACATCCAAACATGATAATCACGACACGGAAGTCATGTAAGGCATCATTTACCTCCACCTCGTAAGGTTGTCCTGATTTTTAAGTGACAAAACATTTCTCATTCGTGCATCGCATATCATCGATTGCCACTGTACGTGGGATCTGCATTTTTTTTTTGTTTTTATGAGGAATATACTATGTAATAAAACAGTCGTAATTACTTATATGCTACTTTTAGGTAGCATATACAGTACAATCAACGCCTCCTGGATTGCCTGTGCCTGCCGGATGAGCGCGAGACGCTGGTCATTTATGACGGCGCTGCCTACGTAGGGGTAAGGGTCTTGTACTTAGCCTTTAAGATTGGCAATTTTGGCGTTTGTTATTAATTTTAAAGGATGCCTTGTTAAAGAAGTTGCTTGCTGAATGACGGCGTCACTAATGTAGGATTAACTAAATTACGTTTACGGCTTTTAAAAACTTTTTTACGTTATTTTTGTTCCATATAAGCTCCAAAAACGTAAAAACTTATTTGAAGACACCCCTACCTGAGTAGCGCCATCACCGTGGTTCCGACGACCGCCGCTTTCTAAGTGACTGCCGATAATCTTGGAGGCACAGAAAATCTAGGAGGCGTTGGTACAGTACACACGAACACTGCACATTCCAGCACCCGGGGTATGTGCGTATGTATTGTTTCAATCACAGTTTGGTTGTAATCATAGAGGCTCATACAATAATACCATTGTATGAAACTCTATGGTTGCAATTAACAAACCCAAAACAAATATTCTGCGCGAGCGTTTAATGAAGCTCGAGTCAACGTAAAACAGCATGCTTTCAATAAAAAGACACAAAATGCAATTTTTAGTGTTTGTGGATTCTGAAACAGTATGTTGTAGACCAATGTATATTCAATGGGAAACAATTGATTCAATTGTGCCTGAACGACACAAAAGCACAGCCTTTGAGTTGTCTAACTCAGTATGTTTACGTCATTGACGCCTTGTTTTAAAAAAAAGTTAAACGCGTCCTCTGGTGGTACATGCGACTACATAATGAAGTGCGCTCTTTTTCGCTCTTTTTAGCAGAATTTACCAGTATCATATAGGTGTTCTGTGCCAGCTCTGTGGCGCGTGTGTTATGCGCGCGCGTGCTTCGGTCTGCTCGCTCGGGTGTAGCGCGTTTGACGTGTGGAAACCTACCGAACTGCTTCTTGTTATGAGGTAAGGTGTGGGTAAGGTCAGAGCACTTGTGATCACCGTCTTGTGTACTGCGACTTGATTTGACGGGGTGGATGCACGCAGAGCGGTCCCTCCTGATTAGCACCTTTGGATTGACACCATGATCACCAGCATAAAGAGATACAAATTTGCCCGCCAAGCCGCCTCCTGGCCACTCGCAAATGTATCATTTGTGTTCCAAATGTGCTTGCTGCGCTCATGGTGAGGAACAGCTATGCATGTTTTTAAGAATTCGGCGAAACCTTCTGGCGCGTTGGCTGTTGGGGGATCTGTTGCTTATTTAGAAAGCTTGCCTGTATTTTGGAAATTCCGAGTGGCGTGTGCGGGCGACACTCTCTAGTAGCGCTTCATCTAAAGCTAGCATGCTACGTTCGAGAGCTGCTTTCGATAGAGGCCTGTCGATTTCCCGGGAGCCATACAATAGGGGTGCGTTCGTTGCTGCGCGCGTCTAGTCTTCGTCGTAGCCATTGGGTCTAGCCTATGTGGCTGGCGTCGCCAAGCCGTGTTTCAAATTGGAGCTACAGCATTGCTTGAGTTTCGTTTACTCTGAGGTGCAGCACGAAGTATAAAAGCTCGCTGATTCGCCCGCTTATCTGCAGTGCACACGTCTGACTCCCATTCGTCACAGGAAGCAGGCGGGCCAAACATGCTACTTCGAGCTGGTTCTATAACCGAGTTCTTTCTTGCAAGTCAGAATACTTGCGCTGAGGTTGAATTTCTGTTGAAGTACTCATGCACTATTATTGCCATTCGTGCATGGACGATCACTTTTCCCGACACCCCGATTTCGGCGCTGCTTGATGCTATTAGTTCTGAATTCTTTGACGTCTGTGATCGGAACACGTTTCTGCAACGATGTCTTAGCACAGTTGTACAATATCCGACTGGTATGGCTGATACTAAAAAAAAAAGAAAGATGTCTGGCGCTGTTCTTGTGAGATTTT